GTAGGATTTAATCAGCGTAGAGTTTCGTATGAAATAAAAACCCAGATAAATTACGACAGCAATTTAGAAGCACTCCCATCTTGAGTGGTACGCTTAAATGCATCGATGATGGATAAAGTGTATGTACAAGGATTGAAGAACAATGTTTTTGTTTATAGCGACGTTAACAGTTATATTTCCTAGGCTTCTGAGAAGTATAGTAGGCGATTATTCTTGTTGGAATGTAGTATATAGCCGGCGGAAGTTTCTCACTTACCAAGAATGACTAGCATGGATACTAGAATATAACTTGTGCACTGAGATAGAGTATAGTTCCGTTATGAGTAAAATTTATTTTGATGAAGTCTCACAGTGTTATGCAGTAATATTTGCTGATGACGTTTTGGGTACAATCTATTGCTCATAATCACATCAGTATAAACCTTGATATGACTAGCTTTCATTTGTCAAACTTATTATTTGGAACAAACCGTTAACTGATATTATAATTTCGAAAATTCTCTATATTCACACGTTGACTGACTCGTTGTATAGACACTGCGACGTTAAAGTTGAACACAATCGACCAAAACGAAATTCGGAAAAGTTACTTTGGTAAATCACTACTGATACCTCTTCTACAAGATGAAGTTCTCATGGCCTGGCGGTGGGTTGGGTGTTTGTTGGGGCTACCTAATAGGGATGGAATGTCAGGTACTTCAATATCTCTTATCACTCATCTGATAAAACAAGGATCTACAATACACGCAAATGAATGGAAAGGTTATAACTCCATGTCATCCCGTGGATATAGTCAACACAGAGTCAACCATTCTAATCATTTTGTAGATCATAATACAAGGACCTACACCGATTCTATCGAAAGGCTTTTGAGTAGGGTTGAACAGCAGGATTAAAGCCATTACTAAATCTCACGAGGGAGACATTTATAGGCATTCAGATGAATAGATGTATTGGATGTTGCGTAACTTTGCAGTCGACAATCGTATGCTAAAATAGGAGGCGTTTTTATCACGTTTGGCTAAAAGCTCACACTTTTACACAGAGATTTTAGACATTTTCTTCACGAATATATAGAATCTATGAACGCAAATGCCTCCCTCACGTAATTGGTCCATTCAAGATCACTCACTGGTGCACAAAGTTCACCATGGGCGGCTTTAAATAGTAAAGAGGGGAGGTGAATAAGTTGGAAATGAGCGACTAATACGTGGTAGAATAACACGATGACTTCAGCTCGTAGCACAGAGTCGAAAAGCAGTTATATGACAGCGAAGGATAAAGGAATAAGCCAAAAATAACATCGATATACCAGGGCAAGGGAGGACAGAAAACTGCCTGTTTTCTAACACAAACGGGATTTTATGCTGTTTTGGTAACGATTGCTTCTGATGCAGTCTGTCACACAACGCCTTCCTTTTGATCTTACCTGATTTCCTTTGTCGGATAATGACTATTCTCCGGTGGCATTAATTTTTGCTGGAGCCAGAAATAGATCAACTCATTCACGTTATTGTTATTCTTATTATTGTCCGTATTCATATCACAAGTCGAACTTCAAAGTCTCTTTCGGTGTTGGGCTGAATAGAGACGATTGAATGTCATGGTGACTACCCATTGGGATAGTTAGCTCAAAAGAGAACATGTGGTTCAGCAAGAAGATTCACTCCAGTGATTTTATTTATAACAGCAGCACAAGCTCAGTTTCAGACCATCTTTCTATAAAGTTGTCTGTCTGTCTTTGCCTTTCATGTATGCAATAACTAATGACAGGAATGTGTATTTCATAATACTATCGATTGTTAAGCAAAATACGACGATGTTGGAATATTGAAGTCGGCTAATTACGCATGAGTAATGGCATCATAGGACAAAATGACTACAAATAGCTTATGCTCAAGGTGAGAGTGCAAACATCAGAGGTGTAGTATAAATCCTTTAGAAAAAAAACATTGAAATAAGAAGTAGTTGAACAGGCTTCTGATCCATGCAAAGCCCTAACTTCTCCACTTCGATAACTGCGGGTTCAGCAGTACAGTTAGACAAGCATGATGCTTATTTTTAACCGTTACAGATAACTTTAAAGGAGGTTGTTTTGAAGATGAGATAACTGGTGTCGACTTCGCAATCCTTTACACGTCACTTGTTCCTCCAGAATTTCACCTGTTCTAGGTGAAGTCTTCCACTCAGTGGTTATTTAAGACTTTAGAATGACGTGTTTCAATATTCTGCTTGAGATGAACAATACCACGAACTAACAGCCATTTAACGAACATCATGTTCACAATGGATTTGAGACTCCCATTAGTTATGACTAAGATCAATATAAACCGATGGAATTCTTTCAGTGCTCATACTAAGGAGGAGGCAAATGAAATTAGTTAATTCCAACAAGGGAATACATTGAAAACATTATTGCCTCAATGAAGGTCATTCTTGATCCCGAATAGCTCAGTGATGATATCTGTGGAATTTCTACGAAAACAACACTTCATCTAGAATGAGAACGTCTCATCGTTTATTTTGTTGGATTGTCATCATCCGCCTACAGCCTGAACAAATTACGCAGTTTATGTATAAATCAATCTCAGCAGTACTTGTAAATGTTATATGATGTCATATGATAGCACATGAAAAGCTTAATCGACAATAGATGTTGAAAAATGTGGGCACTGTGCTAGTAAGTAATTCCAAATCAGATTGTTTATTAGATTAATCACACAGTTAGGGAAACCGTTTTATTTACTGGATGACAGGATGTCGAACAAAATTTATTGTTCATAATCATATCAGTTATAATCACATGACTTTGAAATTTAAGTTTTATTCTTTTATTTGTCTTCTCCTATTTGTCGTCATTAGGGTTGTAAAATTTTCCAGAACAGGTGTTTATCATTCCTAATACGTGCGCTTTCAGTTGATTCGATAAACAAACCTTCCGTTATCAATCTCGTATCCATCCTGTTACAATCGATTTTGAAACTAACATCTTATACAATCCTATTGTATGGTTGTGTGTAACTGCATGTAGTGAGTGGTATAGCTGAACTATTTCCTAGATTTCTTATTCGGGTCAAGCAATCTAGATTTTGCAAGGTTTTATGTTCGGCTAGTCTGAGTGACCCTGTTCTACTAGTTTGACCTATGTATTTCACCTGACAATCATTCCAGCAGGGTATTAGATGAACTAAATTGTTTTGTTTCAAAGGCTCCACATGATCCTTCAACCGACATTTGAATCTTTATATCTTCCATACCTCTAATTCTGCACAAACTGTTAGAATCACCTTATTCAAGTCCATAAAAGTGGATAAATATATAAGATGTTTCTGGAAAATCGCCTCTTTAACCGTGATGAAAAGTTACCTTAACAAGACTGTAAACCAGAGGGACTGACTGACTGATTGACTGATTGATTGAATGAATTAATGGACGGAATATTCCCGTATTGAGTTACAAGATAAAGAAAAAACAATTTCCCACTTCAACCTGTCATAGACATGCTTAACTCACCATATCATCAAATTGCAAAGTGGCTGGCTGATATCCTTGAACCAGTGAGAAGACAAATGACAAAATATAGTCATAGCGATACATTTAACTTCATCGACTCAGTGAAGGATGTCAACGTGTTTGAAAGTAAAATGCTCTCACTGGATGTCACTGCTTAATTCACAAGCATCTCTCTGACTGAAACAATATGCTTCATTTGTAATTACATAGGAACCAACAACATAGAAGTTCCTCTTCCTAATTAAGTAGCTGAAGCAACTACTTCTCAGATGTACGTCTAATATCCAGTTCAATTTCAATTAATAGTTCTATGTTCAGAAAGATAAGGTCGCCAACAACCTTAAATAATTGATGGATTTCATCATTCCCTACAAAACCAGTACTTTCAAAATAACCATAGTTCTTTTATTATTATGGATATATAGCTGTGGAACATTATGAAGAATTTGTCGAAATGAATATTCATGTATTGGATTTTAGGGACTTGATTGGTTGATTGGTTACAGAATTTCAACATGAGCTGAGATCAGTTAAAAAAACATTGGAATTAGTGGGTGCAAACGTTGTCGGTAGGTGCATATTGATGAAGAGTCAGTCATAAACTAGGACGAAACATCTGTCCAGTTCTGCCATGTTTCGTTGAATGGTTCTCTAACCGATGTCAGCTCATGATGAAATCCTGTCACGTATGGAATATTCTTCGTTAAATAATCAATCTTTTGAAATTTAGAGGAGCATTCGAAGCCAAGGTGTAACTAGAAAATTGTTCTGTAGTAAGTTTTCACACCGTAGGTGTTTTGAACTTCCTGGAATAATTTGAGCGCTGACTCAGATTGATTCATTCTAAATTATTTACATTAATCCCAGCGTAATAAAGTAAAAAAATACAGGAAAATCATGATTCGATTTCTTCTTAAACAATCTGGGATTCATTTAAATCATTCATTATGTTCTGTCGCAGTTTAGGAATCCTCAGAAGTACACACAGATGACTTCGTAGTTCGTCCAACCCCCGATATCTTTGTTCTGCGCAGTAATTACATCGCCATTCAGCTGTGCGAACTCTTATGAATACTAACTTCTTTCCATTCATGATGTAATTCTATTTTTCCAACTCAAACGAAACATTTTATAATTTTAAAAACTAACACAATCACATTGTTCCAAAGAACAATAATAATTCATTATAACAAAGATTGTTCTTTTGTATTTCCCCAAAAATGAATGAAAACCAAAACGATATCGCTGTTTTTACCGACGTTTTGCTATTTAATGCTGGTGCTAATAACTTTATCAAAGCAGTATAATTAAACTTATATAGCAAATTAATCATCGTTACTCAAGATGGAGTTGTTTTTGCGTTGTGTAATTGGCAATTCGGTAAAGACAACCAAATCAGGTGTAGATTGTTGAATTTGATAAGTGTGTAACATTATAAAAGCAGTGCGTGTCTACACAATGAAATTGCTTTTGTCATTCGTGCTGATTACGTCATTTGCTGGAGTGGGGAAGGTGGGTGTTATAACCTGGTCGCATTCTGTTTTAGCCCATCATTCCTATTCACCAGACAATTTGAATAAAACTTGATATGAAATGTTTTTGATGATATCAGACCTTCTTCAAGATTTCTGAAACGCTTTTTATGGATGGTGATTTCAATGTTGTCAAAGTCAATTTTGTGGCCTGATTCTGTAGCGTGTAGAATACCACATATGGCTGAGGATTTTTGAAGCTTTTTTAGTTCAACTTGATTTCTCCGTGGTCGAACAGATCCTGAACAGTGTTCACTTCTTCTGATTTTGATTTTTCGCGATATTTGTCCGATGTATATAGCATCACATTGCAAGCATTTTATTTTCTGGACATAATTTGATAGAGAATCTTTTTCGATATGGTCTTTTACATAGAAAAGGTTGCTTTGCATTATGTTTGATGCCTTGAGGAAAACTCCAAAGTCAATCTTTCTGAGTACTCTTCTCGCATCGTCTGACGTTTCTGATCCATCTATATGGAATGACAACTGTTGAAGTCCATGTTTTCGGAATACATTTGTGAACATACTTAATGTCAGGGTTGATTTTGTTGATAAAGTTCTTGGGGTAGCTGTGTTGCTTGAGAGTTTCAGTAATGTTTGATATTTCTTCTTCTTTTTCTTGCTCATCCGTTATCAGAGAGTGTGCTCGTCTAAGAAGACTTGGGACAACTAAAATCTTTGAGCTGATGGGGTGTGATGATTTGAAGTCTAAATATTTGTTGTCAGAGTGGCTTTTCTTCATGAATAAAGATGTACTAAAATGTCCGTTTTCCTTTCTCTTAGCTAGGCACTCTAGAAATGGTAGTTCACCAACGTCCGTTTCTGCTTCCGAAGTGAACTGGATTCTGGGAGATAGATAGTTTATTTTCTCCAAGAATGAACTGTGCAGATCTCGTTTTAGTGCTATACAAGTATCATCCACATATCTTAACCATATTTTAAGAGTGAGTATACTTGAAAAAATGTTATCTTCGAATCTGTTCATGAAAAGGTCGGCCACTACTGGGGAGACTAATGAACCCATAGCAACATCATTAGTCTGTCCACATAAACTCCCTTTAAATGTAAAGGAATTATTTTCTAGACAGAATATCAAGCCCTTAATTTTTAGACCAATCAGATACTGGTAAACTTTGTCCTTGAAAATTCTACTACATAATGTGAGGTGTAAGAAGGGATGACTAATTGTGAGTTAGAGAGGAGACAGAAGTTGGCATGACCTAATGTGTGAGATAATGACTAATCAATAAGCTAGTGTAGAATGGACAGGAACTAGTGGAAAGGCTATAAAGTATTTTTGTGTAAGATCTCTGTGGAAAGCAATATTATTAATAAACAGTAATGGAGTGGTAATAAAATGTGGATGGTAGGAATAGTAATAATAATAAAAGTATTAAGAACAGTAATAATTATAATAGTGTTAAAACATAGGAGCAAAATTATAGGGAGAAATTTACTCTGGCCATGGTAGGGCCAGAGAATGTATGCATCGTTTTTTGTATGCACAGGTCCGGTTTTATGTCACGAATAGCTAATGCCTCAGCTATGTACAGATGTCGTATCCGGAGTCCTTTTGTACGATATTGAGAGACTCTGTGTACCACTGTGAAGCATTCGTGTGGGGCGGAGGGGCTCAATGTCTGGCCTTACCATGGCCAGAGTAAATTTCTGACTGTAATTTTGCTCCTCTGTTTTAATAGGTAAGTTCACAAATGTTGTTATTATTATTACTGTTCTTAATACTTTTATTATTATTACTATTCCTACCATCCACATTTTATTACCACTCCATTACTGTTTATTAATAACATTGCTTTCCACAGAGATCCTACACAAAACTACTTTATAGTCTTTCGACTAGTTCCTGTCTATTTTACACTAGCTTATTGATTAGTCGTTATCTCACACTTATTACGTCATCCCAACCTCTGTCTCCTCTCTAACTTACAATTAGTCATCCCTTCTTACACTTCACATTATGTAGTAGAATTTTCAAGGACAAAGTTTACCAGTATCTGATTAGTCTAAAAATTTCTGTATTAATTATAATTACGATTGTACAGCTCATGAAAATGAATCGTCGAAAAGGGAAAATTTTCTTCGCTTTTTGTGCCTTTTTCTTATGGAAATATTTCGTTTGTTGAAGCCCTTAATTATTTACTGGTGTCCAGTGGAAATCTTTGTGATAGCGTTGTATCTTATTCTAGTAGACTGGAAATGATATCAAGACTTTCAGTAATCGGGATACTAGTATATAATCAGATAATAAAATAATTTACCATAATATCGTCCTTATTACTTTTGCCGAGTTGTATTTGAAGTTTGAGATCAAGTGAATTTCTTACAATATTTTGAGTGGTTCTTGTATCGAAAATAAGTATTCGGCGAGGTTGCTATCTTTACCAGCTGGCCAATACGACAACGCAAAAATGCCCATCCATGCTGAGGAACGATATTTAATTCGTCAAATATAACCTGGGGAGAGTTTTCGTAGTTTCTGGTTTAATAATACAACTAGTTTGATAATACTAGATATTAGCAGCAGCATTAAATAGCAAAACATCAGTAAAAACAAGAGTTTGGTTTTGTTCTTCATTCATTCATTCACTGGGAAATACAAAATAAAGCAACCTTTTTATTATCATGAATATCAAATATGCAACGTCTAAATGTTTTCAAACTTTTTTAAGTGAACTTGCTTTCGACGTATATAACAATAATAGTTATACAGATTGGAAATTTCAACATTTTGATACATACATACCTCAACAATTAAGCTCTTTTTTGTAGTTGTGTACAAAGATGAAATTAAAAATAATAATGATAGTATTAATAATGAAGTCACTAAAAACAGAATGTTAGTGGAAGCATAATGGAGAGAGAAAACAAAAGATACGAATAAGTGGAGAGGATGTTCAGTATCAGACAAGATAACTTTAGCTAAATACTTGCAAGAATTCAGGCATCTATTGTCAGTTACGTCAGTTAGCTAAGAAGAAGGAACACCATTAACCCCTACTCACAGTCTTCAGTGTCGTATGTAAAATGACATAGTCTGCCTGGAGAAACGATAACCAGGTAGAATGGGCAGAATACACGAATTAATAAATTGTAAGAGAAGAGATTCAGTTAGGCCAATAATGACTCAACTTATTTTTATGTAATCGGTTAAACGAAAATTTTTCTTAGAAACCAACAGGATATGAGGCGTTGATATAAGAACAGAACTTGTGCACTGTGGCAGAGTAAAGTTCCTTTGTGGATAAAAATTTGTTTTGATAAAGTATCACAGTTTTAGACAGTTGTATTAACTATTGACGTTTCGAGCACAATTTATTACTCATAATCATATCAGTGTTGTCAGTAAATACATAATCCCCGACTGTATGGCCTTCCAAAGATTCAAAATACTGGGTACCCACTGATACCTAACTTAGATATGACGAATTCTTCATACCATAAAATCGCAAAATTCATTCCAGAGGTCCTGACGCCTGTAAGAGACTCATTATCAAATCATTCTGTGAAAGGTTCATTTGATCTTACAGAAATGCTAGACACCTTGAACATTAGGGAAAAGTTACTGTGTCAAATTGATATGAAATCTTTAATCGGTAATGTTTTTTTCATGAAACTGTTGATTTTATTTACGACAACATGACAATCAATGGGATAAACTTACCTATTCCTGTAACTTACATACGTGATATCATCTGAATATGTATAGAGAATACCAGACTCACCTTCCAAGAAAAGGCATACAAACAGATCGATGGTGTTGTGATGAGGAGCCCTCTTGGGCTCATGTTAGCAGATATATCCAAGAAGAAATTGGAGAAACAAATGCAAGGTATGGTAGGAAAATTTATGCTATACAAACGTTACGTGGATGATACAATCATCATTTGTAGCAATAGTAAATCTATTGAAAACTTTATCTCTATGTTTAATAATATTCCATTCAAGTATCCGAGTGACTTCCAAACTCGAATTGAATAAAAAAACTCGGTTTCATGAATGTTTCAATGAACAGTGGAGACGATGGAACGATTAAGTGATCTATTTTTTTGCAAACAGACATGGAGTAGACAATATCTTCCTTTCACCAGTTTTGTTCCTATCCAGTTTAAACGTTTCCTAGTGAAATGTTAGTTTTCAAGGACCTAAAAAATATGTACTATCGACGGACTGATGGATGAGTTCCGACATACACATTCAGTTTTATTAGCTAATGGTTATCCAGAAATCTTACTTTATCAACTGTCACAGTAAGGATAAACCACATCTAGAAAAGATAGCTTCTGTACCAAAAGAAAGCTATCTTTATTAATCTACCATTCAAGGGTGACCAGATTATGCAACTGACTGCTCAAAGACTTCGGTCACACACCAAACTCATATTCTCCGCCAAATCTCTCGCCCTTATACGCCGAACATTTTTGATCTTTGTACCTACGATTAAAGCGCGAAATTCTGTAGACTCTACTTCAAACTGTATCTACAAGTTCACCTGAAGTTGACGTGACACATTTATAGGTAGAACCAGCAGAATGTTCTAATGTGGTCGTCAAAAAGAACATATTCCGAAATGGTTATCCCAATACAATTAATCTGAAAAGAAATCCATCATCATTATCATCCATTGCAAAGCACTTATTAACATCAGGTCACAAAATCAATGCCAATGATTTTTTCACAAATATTTCATTGCATAACTTTAAATCAAGGTTGGTTATTGAAGGTGATGGAAGCACTTTGAATTAATGAAATATCGCCTAAACTGTGTGTACAACAAACAACAATACACTTTAATCTTCGTCTACCATGGACTTATTGACGTATTTTAATATGATTGCTCACCAGTATGTTCTTTTGTTTTTTATATAACTGAGTAATAGTAATGCATTTGATTTTATTATTATTGTGAACCATGTTAGTTGTAAAGCGATTGTGAAGAAACTATTAAGTGAAGATAGGAGATACTCGACTTGCTTCCCATCACACTGCCATCGATATCAAAACCGTTTTTATATTGCACAACTCCACCCAAATCTTACTAATCCTCAGCCGTCTTTTAGTTACAATAACCGTAAGTAGTTGATTTTTATTTTGACAAACTCGATGTACACATACATATAAAATAATCCATATATATTTGCAATTTTACAGTTGAGAAAATGAATTCTCCGAAAAGAGACTCTTCGCTGAACCACGTGTTCTGTTGTCATTATTGCCTGGATTTGGATTATTCATGGATTTAACAGGAATAGTGAGACTGGATCTGTCCATGCAAGTCTTCTTCACATCTGAAACTGAAATCAGCAAACAGTGTGACATTTAGGGCGATTTAGTTTAAGACCATTTAGGTGAGACCATTTATCAACTTCAGATAAGAATCCATTCATCATATAAGAGTAGTTATAAACAGAACCTACAGGAACAGAGCGGTTTTTATCATTGGCATATACAATGGAAAGATAAAAAAAGGTCATGCGAAAGGTATCAAAAAAAAGGGATGGGGAGATTACAGTGCCTACAGGCACACCGATTTCCGTTAGCTATGAAGTGGAGAGCTTTTCACTCAAAACAATCCTTGAAAAAGAAGAAGACAGCCAACTTGTCGCCCAGATATCAGTGTTTGCTGAAATCAGCTTGCTGAGTAAAAGTGCCCTAAGCAGACAGTCAGAAGCAACAATGTAGCCTAAAAAGGCGGCTCGAACAAACTTTGCATCTTTACTAGACTTGAAAAAGTATTGTGATGCAGCACAACTGCAGCAACTAAAGGGCTTCTACTGCATTTACAA